TGGAAGATAGGATGACTAACCACTGCTCTTATGTTTGGCATGATATCTGGGAAGTCTGTTTATCTATCATCTACCTATCAACCATCTATCTATCTGTTAACTATCCATCTATTTCCTATCTATCTATCTATCTATCTATCTATCTATCTATCTATCTATCTAGCATCTATCTACCTATCAATCATCTATCAAAAAGTTGATAATATAAACCACTTACGCCTTATACCCCTGCCGAATAAGAATGTGTGTCAACTAAACACAATGCTAAGGAGCTGTATTCTCCAAGAGTCATTTTGGAAAAGTTCTTCAGCACTAATGGTAGCACCTGAATCTGAGCACTCACTCTCCAAGCAGAAGTTCAGGTAGAACTTCACCAATAAATCCAACTCCTTACAGTCTGCTTCCTCCATTGGAAACAACCCTGCTTATCCAACACTGAGCAGCCTTCTCATACCTCTTCAGGAACACTCAAATATTGTCATGTCATTTCCTGACCCACTACATGCCAAAAAGCATGCCAATGATGCTGGTCCATTATAGCCTGAATCTCCCACTCCTCTCACACATATGTGGCATGTAATTAAATATACTATGACTTGAAGGTCCACACCAGGTAGCTGGGATCTTTTTCTTACTTAGCATGAGAGGACTAATAGAGGTTTAACTTAAAGGGACTTGACCAGTAAACTGGGGTTTCTTCCATCAAATTTAACACAGTAAAAAAGGCAGCCCATTTATGCCTAATAGCCTATGGCCAGAAGCAGCCAGATGTCCCTCAGCGGGTACATGGTGAAATGCACCCACACTGTGGAATACTTACTCGTCACCAGCAAAAAGGGATGAACAATGAATACACACGGCCACCCGGATGAATCTCCAGGAGTTATGCTGAGTGAAAAAAGCCAATCGCACTGGGTTACATACTGTACGATTCCATTTATATAACATTCTTGAAATGACAAAATCGTAGAAATGGAGACTAGATGGGGTTGTTCCCGGGGGCTGAAGAGGAGGTGGCGAGAGAGAAGTGGGTGTAGCTCTAGAAGGGCGACATGAGGGGTCTTTGTGGTGATGGGAATGCTCTGTGTCTTGACTTGTCAAAATCCCGGTTGTGTGATCTTGTACTTCAGTTTTGCAAGATGTTACCTTGCGAGGAACCTGGGTAAAGGCTACAAAAGGTCTCTCTGTATTATTTCTTACAACGGCACATGAATCTATAATTACCTCCCAATAAAAAGTGTAGAAAAAGAAAAAAAAGGCAGCCCATCCCTAAAATTTAACTATCATAGTGGTCACAGTAACTGGTGACCACAACTGGAGTCATATATTTCCCACAGCTTCTAAGCTTCAAATATAACTTACAAAATCAGTCTTCCTTCAGCCATAAAACTCTCTACACCAATATCAGCAAATGAAATGGGAATGATCTGGGGTGGAATTTTCTGTTAAGTTGTTTACATGTAGACGTGTTCTAGGCCTCATGAGCATGAAGGACAGAGGAAACTTCGGGGAGATACCCAGATTTTAGGATTTAGGTTTACATTCAGCATCAATGACTTGAGTATTTTACTCTTAGGCACATTTTTCTCCTCATTAAATTTGTGTAGGAATAATCCAGCTTCACAATTAAATCAGCCTAAAAATGTTTTAGTAAATGGTCTTACAGAAAACTTACCCCAACTCCAATTTTTTAAGTATTGCAAGGATTGGATTTTATTTCTGTCTGTATTATTCTGTCTTCCCAATATAGATCACTGTACAGAGGATGCCAGAGACAATATCTGTTGCAGAGAAATCACTAGTTCTAATCTTTCTACCTGGGGATGAGCCTGAAAACTGTAGATGTCTCATATTTTTAGCTCTGAAATGATTATATGTTTTTTCTCTATATAGTCCTGGCATTTCTTTCCTGTCAGTAGGACAAAGGCAAAGTTTATTTAAATCATTTAAGCAGGAAACTTACTTCCTCCAGGAAGTTTCTCTAGTTTTCTCCTTTGAGAGTTTAGTTTGGGCAACAAAATATTCAAAATGGGAAGGAGGTGGATCGATATATTCATGTAGTATCTAGGCATCCTGAAATAAATGCATTAAAAAATTGCAAAACTCTTGAAATTCTCTATTTTTAAGTGACTTGTGACTTCATTAGATGCAAATCATGGCGTCAGAGAGTCTCCTAATTCAGGCTAGACATCAAGACATGCCGATTTAAAACTAAACTCATTTTTCTTTATTAAATTTATTATGAGTAATGAAAGATTTTAAAAATTAGAATTTATTTGTAGGGAATATTTATCACAAAATTATTTTTGTTTATTGTTTATATGTATGTGCACTAGCATATATACACACACATACATGCACATGCATACATATTGAATGTCAACTATGATTAAAAACAGTCACGGGATGTAAAGTACAGCATAGGGAATATAGTCAATGGTATTGTAATAGCTATGTACTGTGTCAGAGGGGTAGTAGACACATTTTGTGAGATGTGTAACTGTCTGATCACTATGTTGTTTGTACACCTGGAACTAATAATGAAAATATAAATTAAAAAAAAATTGTCTTTCTTACAGATGATTTATTGGACTTCTTCTTAGAATTTGATTAGGGTGGCTAATCTCCAGGTGCATTTGAAGGAGGGAATTAAGTATAAATGTTTTCAGTTCTATGTGTTCCTTCTCAGAAATCTGTGACCAGGCATCTGTGAGGATATATGCCCCAGCCCTATGGTAACTTATTTAAGCCCTTGTGAAAAACAAAACAACAACAAACAACAACAACAAAAAAAAAAACCCTCATTTTCCAATGTATCATTTCTCTTTGCTCAGAGAGAAATCCAGGTGTTCCTTATTTTATATTCATGTTTGTGTCTGTATCTAATTTCCCATCTCTAACCCATTGTTTCTTATCATAATTTATGTATTATCTTGAGCATTTCTGTTTAGGTTATTGATTTAGAACTGGCTGATGTATTTTTTTCTTGGACACATTCCAGTGAAAACCACTCAGCAGAAACCTTCTCTCCCTGGATAGCAATGCAAAGACACATGTGCTCTATGACCTGCTTTTAGTGGCAACAGTTTCAGTTTTTGCTATTGTTTTGTACCCCTAACCTTTCAGCACATACTTGACATAGACCTAGCTTTTACTATGTTATTAATAATCAGACAAAAAGATACACCTAAAAATTATTGCAACATACTTATGGCTATTTATGACTATGCTATTGTCTTCTCCTAAAAGCTCAGTGCTGTAGGATAGAATATTTCCTTTGGTCATATTAATAGGTCACAACTTCATCATTTTGATTTTTATTCATCCTCAAATTTTCAAAATATTTTTCAAAGAAATATTACAATTCTCCTGATTGATGAATTTAATGCATAATCAATACTTTTTCTGAGGTCGATAGTACTAATGTTCTTAAAATAAAATAATTCAGAAATGTAATATTATATCTGTTTCCTCCCAAACTTTTTTTCATGTACTTTTCTAAAATACCCACAAATCTTTTTAGATCCTAAATATATCCCATACCTGTCCACTACATTAATCTTTACTTTAATAATTTTAGCTACTGGCATCTCTTTCTGGAACCGGTACACTATTTTCTTTTTGATTTCTTTGTTCCTCTCTTGCCTCACTCAAATCCACACATATCTGAACTTATAATTTATAAACAACACTGAAATCATGTCACTCCCTTACTTAGAACTATTCAATAGCTTCCCATGACTCTTTTGGTAAATACACAAACCCTTGCTATAGCCACAGGGTATTATTGATTTGACCTCCTTATCTCTCTCCAACTTCTCCTTACAACAATTACTCTCTTCCTGTCTGTCAGCCACATTCCTGGAAGGTGCACTGATCCGTCCCAGCTTCAGCGTCCTCACAGACTGCTTTCTGCTTAAAACATTCTTATCCTTATTTTTACCAGTTAATGTCTAATTTACCCTCAGATCTCAGTTCAAGGGCACTCTTCAGGGAATCTTTCCCTTACCTCAGTCTTGACGTGATCCTTTTTGAAACCAACATCCTCAAAGCAGCTTGTTCTTTACATTTTGTCACTAGTCACAGAGATTATTTTAAATTTAGGTTTATTTGATCTTTGACTCCCCAGTGGGTTGTGATCTGTATAGTCAATATTTTATATCTGTTTGCTTACAGTTAGATCATTGTTGTTTAGCATTGTTTCTGTCTCATACCTTAAAATATCAGCCAAGTAAATAACTTAATATTAGTGCTACTGCCTTGAAAATAGTTATAGTGAGGACTGATTTACTTTTCTTCAAATATTAATCTATTATAAAATAGAATATGTAAAACACAGTTCTGCAGAAAATAAGAAAATAGATAAAAAAATAAACCTGAAATCAGGGAGGCCAATATCAAATGGCCCCAAAAATCTTAATAAAGCAAATATAAATAAAGTTATTTATATATAAATTTTTAAATTCTGTATATCAGAAGACAAAAATTGGAAATGTTTGCAATATCAGTGGCTCACTAGAGTTCATTTATCATTAATGCACTCCCACAAATAAATTAGGAAAGCATGAACACAATGATAGGAAAATGAGCAAACAATATGTACAGAGAAGTCCAAAGACAGACATGTAAATGGATACCACAAACTTAAAATTATCTATGCTTTTTTAGCAATAAAAATTAATTGAATACACCAGAAAAATCACAATATAAAATTACACTTAATCTTCCAGATGTATAAGAAATATTTTTATCCACTACTTAGTTCTTAGAGAAATGAACACAGGATAATGACAGATAAATCAACCCGTGAACTTAACAAATAGCAAATCTATCAAGTCAAGGGCAGACTCCTAATAAGACTTGTAAATGGTATTGTTTCATTTGGAGAAGTGGAGGCTACCACAGGAAGTTTTGAGACTTAATGGAATTTCTCTTTGCTCTCAATTCAGAGAAATCGCAGATCCCCACCATCTTTCCTGAGCAATCACCCACATCAGAGTTTAACTTCCAAATCTATGTTTAGATAAAAGACGGAGAATGCCATATTGAATCTGCTTGGTCTTGATGCTGTAAATGATAGGATTCATTAAAGGAGGAAAGAGGAAGTAGACATAGCTCATTATAATGTGGACCATATGTGGCACATTCTTCCCAAACCTGTGGATGAATGACAGACTGATCACAGTGACATAGAAGATGAGGACACAACTGATGTGGGAGATGCAGGTATTAAGGGCCTTGGCTCTCTCTTCACCAGAGGCTATACCCATGACAGTCTTCAGAATTAAGATATAGGAGACAAGGATGGTCAGAGAGTCTAAGAAGATTGTTAAAAAAATAAGAATTACAGGGTAAAGTGTATTGAAAGTTATGTCAGCACAAGCCAGTTTCATTATTTCTTGGTGAAGACAGAAAGCATGGGAGAGAACATGAGAGTGGCAATATGGAAATGAAAAAAGACGCAAGATTACAGGCATGATGGATAGAAAACCCCTCAGAAAAGCTCCCACCCCTAGCTTTACCACTCGAGTATTGGTGAGAAGAGATGTGTATTGCAAGGGGTGGCGGATGGCAATGAAACGGTCATAGGCCATGGCAAGTAGGATACCAGATTCCACAATGGAAAGGGAGTGAATGAAGTAGGCTTGCATGAAGCAGGCCCCGTGGCTCATCTCCCAGTGATTCACCCATAAGACGCCCATTACAGTTGGCATTGTGGTCAATGTCACCATCAGATCTGTACCCGCCAACATGGCAAGGAAATAGTACATGGGTTCATGGAGACTGTGATCATCCTTAATGAGATGGAGGAGAGTGCCATTGCCAAGAAGCATAAAGATGTAGACTGCAAAGAAGGGGATGGAGATCCAGCGATGAGCTGCCTCTAGGCCTGGGAATCCAGTCAGCAAAAAGGGGGCGGCACTCATATTGGGCCACATAGTATGTCCGCAGTTGGAGAGCAGCTTTCTAGAAATCTTTAACCCAGGAACCCATACTTTTTAGTAGTAATGTACCACAGTAGCCTCAATCACAATCTTCACACTTGGGGATAATCAATCGGGATGATAAGTGTAACTCTGAGCGTATTTGCCAGCAGAAGAGTAGAGACTTACATGTTATACTTGAGATCAGGAATGTTGGTATTTCCCTAATTAGAAAAAAATATTAGGTTAATGGTTAAAATGTCTCAAGTAAAAAAACATTTTCTTCATTTTTCTTAAAACATCAGGCCTTACTATTGTTTGCATGCTTCAAAATGTTTGCAGCCACAGTGATAACAACAAACAAGATAATTAAGTACTAATAAAGAATAATCTTAGTTAGCTGCTTTCTTGCTGTGATTGATAACTTTTGGACACGCTTAATTTTGATTTTGGCTTTATCTTTCACAATCATGACAAATACATACATTTTTTTTTCAATTAGAAGCACTTTTCTTCGTTTTTGGAATTTAATGACAGTGTTTTATGAAACACAGCAAGCATCACCATCGCTTCCAATTGCTTTGGTGTTCCAACAATTACACTTTTCTAGAGGTTGGCTAACAGAAATGTGGACCACAACCAGCCACAACTAACAAGTTTGGGAACTTGTTAGGCATGCAGCCTTTGACTTTACTTCTAACACATTAAATCAAAATTTCCATTTTATCACAACCTGCAGGTGATTTAAGTGCACAGTAATATCTGAGAAGCACTGATCCAAACATGTCATATCTATTCCATCTTTGGAGACAGATATATTTTTTTTAATTCTTTCACCTCATTGATTTCCTCATTCCCTCTAAGTATCCTCATACAATTTTTTTTCATTTCTCTTTTACCATTCACTGGTTCTCTTTCTGCCTTTTGTTCCTTTTCAAATCATTTCACATAATTGAATATTCAGATTCTTTCTCAATGTTTCCTCTTATCTTTGTCTCTTATTTTTCCAATACTTAACTCCTGATGTGCTGTTGTTCATGTGACTGATCACATTATAATGTTCCCACAGCCTAAAGATGTCAGTAGTCTCCACTATTTCTATTTTATTGGTTGCCACAACCCAAAATAAAGGAGCTACTACATTTTATGCTGAAGTATGACTTCACCTTGCATTCAGAACATCAAGCCATATCTCATTGTTTCAGAACTCAAGGCATACTGAGAAATGGAACACTTTCCTTTTTTATAAGATGTCATTAATATTAGAAGTAGATCAGAATCAAGACAAATCAGAAAGAATCTAACCCTTGTGTAACAAAATACTCTGAAGTTACATCTATGTGAGCATGGTACTCATTGAGATAGAAATCACCAACACTAGATGTCAGAAGCATGGTGGCATGAGAAGTGCTCCTGATTTCTTCCCTTGAAGTTACAACAAGTTGAACAGATATAATTCAACAGAAGGTTCCCTGCCCAACACACAAACACATCCGAGAGATCCACACATCAAAAACCCTGAAGGTGGGTAAATTGGAATGAACCGGGGTGGAGGAGGGGGAGAGATGCCATGGACATAACCTAGAGCCCACTGCAGGTGTTGAGAGAAGGGAGGAGTCAGGCTGCAGGTGCATTCTCTGTAGCTCTAAGTATTCCTGCCTGAGTGATCAGCATATATTACAGCTGAACTCAATGATTGGGGCACAGGCCAAATACAGAAGTGCAGCAGCTGTGTTCTAGCAACCACCATCGCCAGGCAGAAAACAAAGCCCTGGAGCCTGGCTACCTCTCCCCACCCTCAAAAAGCTCACCTCCCTGAGCCCTCTCAGAGCTAGCAGCAGACTCCAGAAGACACTGTAGCAGTGAATGTTGGGTTACAAAGCAGAATATCTACATCCCTGAAAACTGGAGAGACAGTTCCTGAGTGGAAGACGCATAACTTCAGCTAATCCTATGGACAGAGGTGAAGACACAGAGGCAAGGCAGCTAAAGTCTGGAGGTGTCCATTACTGGGAGAAGAACAAAACCAAAACCGTACCAGTGGCCTTTCCCAGCCCACCTTGTCCCTACTATCACCAGCGGATCTCAGCCAAGGGACCTGGGACACCTCAGGAAGTGCAATCCTGCATCTGACTGTTGGGGCAGTGCTAGAATTTCATGGGTTCAGAACACCATTAGCCACCACATTCTCCCATGGGGGTGGTGCCCTGAGATCAAGGCAACCAGGTCACAGAGAACAGGTCACAGAGGGGGTGCCCACCTCTCCAGGCAATACAAGCAAGATACTGTACACCGCTCAGCAGAGATCCAAGAAGCAACAGCAGTAAAAAAGAAAATAAAACACTTGTGCTCCATCGCCATCACTGAAGAAACAAAAGCAAAACCTCCTCTTATAAAACTAAAGAAGAATCACTATAAAACTAAAGAAGAATCACAAAAAAAAAGAGTTTATTCCCATAAATTCCTAGGCAGAGAAATAATCCATCGAATACCATGAACAACCAAGGTAACAAAGCAGCTCAGAAAGAAAATGAAAATCACCAGAAAATAAACTTAAACACATGGAAATATGTGATTTAAATGACAGAGAATTCAAGGCTGTCGTTTTGAAAAACTCAGTGAAATGCAAGAAAACTCAGGCAGTTTAATAAACTCAGAAATAAAATCAACAAACAAAAGGAATAATTTTTCAAAGAGGTTGAAACTATAAAAGAACCAAATAGAAATTCTGGAGCTGAAAAACTCAATAAAAGAGATGAAAAATGAAATAGCAAGATTAGGACATAAAGCTGACCAATGGAGGAAAGAATTGATGATATCAAAGATAAAAATTTGGAAATGACACAGATGAAAGAAGAGAGAGACTTGAGAGTAAAAAAAATAATAAAATAAAATGAAAGAACTCTGCAAGAACTATCTGACTCCATCAGAAAGAGCAATATAAGAATAATGGGTATATGATAAGGAGAAGAGAGGGAGAAGGGAACAGAGAGCCTATTCAAACAAATAGGCAATGAGTACTTCCCAAATCTATGGAAAGAACTGGATCCTCAAATGAAAGAAGCAAACAGAACATTTAATTATCTCAATCCAAAAGGCCTTCTCCAAAGCACATTATATTTAAACTGTCAAAAAGTAATGACAAAGAAGGAATTCTCAAGGCAGCCAGGGAAAAGAAGTCAGTAAGATATAAAGAAAATCCCATTAGATAATCATCAGATTTTTCAGCAGAAACTCTACAAGATAGGACAGAATAAAATCAAATATTAAAACTAATGAAAGAGAGAAATTACCAGCCAAGAATAACATATCTAGCAAAGTTATCCTTTAGATAGGAAGGAGAAATAAAGACCTTTCCAGACCTACACAAGCTGAGGGAATTTTTCACCACAAGGCCTGCATTACAGGAAATACCAAAGGGTATTATTCTACCTGAAACAAAAAGACAAAAGAATAAAAAATTATGAGTAAGATGAATAACAGACAGACAGAAGCAGGAAATTGCAACCCTTATTCAGAATAGGGTACAATGCACTTATATGTAGCATAAAAGTTAAAGGAATTAAAAACATTTAAAAAAGAGAAGAAGAAAATAGCTACTGCAACTCAGAGTATAAATAAAAATAACTTGTGATAATTAAAACGTAAAATGGGAGGGTTAAAGATCTAAATTGGCAAAGGGGAATGGAGATAAGATGCATGCAGAAGAAAAAGGACTGTTGTAAATATGAAACTTTCTTTTGCATAAACATAATGGTAACCACACAAAGAAAACCCAGAACTGAGACACATAACAAAAAAAAAAAAGAGGAAAGAGAGGGGGGAAATCATAGAATATCACCAAACTAAAATAGTAGACAGAAACACAGGGCAAAAACAACTAAGATACTGAGCTACCAGAAAACAAAAGATAAAATGACTATAGGAATTCCTCATACATCAATAATCACTCTAAATGTAAATGGACTGAATTCACCAATAATAAGGCAGATTGGATAAAAAAACAAAACCCAACCATATGCTTCCTTCAAGAGACATGTCTCAGCTGCAAGGATAAGTAAAGACTCAAAATGAAAGAGTAGAAAATGATACTGCAAGCAAATGACACCCAGAGAACAGCTACAGGGTGTAGCTGTACTTATATCTGACAAAATAGACTTCAAGATAAAAAAGGTAATGAGAGACAAAGATGGACATTTCATAATGATAAAGGGACAATACATCAAGAAAACATGAACACTTATCAATACATATGCTCCCAATCAGGGAGCACCAAAATATATAAAGCAACTACTAATAGAACAAGGGAAAAACTGACAAAAACACAATTATAGTAGGGGACCTAAATACCCCATTGACAGCTATGAATAGGTCATCCAAACAGAAAATCAATAAGGAAATATGAGGCTTAAATGACACATTAGACCAAATAGACATAATCAACATATGCAAATCAATCAATGTGATACAACATGAAAAAATAAAGGATAAAAATCATATGTTCATATCAATAGATGCAGAAAGGTATTTGACAAGATGCAGAATCCATTTATGATTAAAATGCTTAATGAAATGCTTATAGGAGTGAAGTACCTCAACATAATAAAGGCCGTATATGACAAACCTTCAGCTAATATCACAATGGTGAAAAACTGAATGCTTTCCCTCTAAGATCAGGAACATGACAACGTTGCCCTCTCTCACCACTGTTATTCAACATAGCGTTGGAAGTCCTAGCCAGAACAATCAGGTAAATGAAAGAAATAAAAGGCATCAAAATTGGGAATGAAAAAGTCAAATTGTCACTTTTTGTAAATGACATGATTCTTTATATACAAAATCCTAAAGACTTAACAAAAAAAGTGTTAGAAGCAATAAACAAATACAGTAAAGTTGCAGAATATAAAATCAATGTACAATGATTCATTAGATCCTATATACTAACTATAAAATTTCAGAAGATGAAATGAAACAACAATTCCTTTGGCAACTACAACAGAAAGAATAAAATACCT